ATAGAAGGGAAATGTGGAAAGAGACGAATGAATGAACGAATGAACGAATGAACGAATGAACGAGTCGCAAATGTTACAAATAGTTGATATGTCCGACAACCAATATAGGCATCTACGCCAACAAATACACACAAAGGTAGTTGTTAACAAATCACACAGAGGTCAGGAGGCCAACATTCCTGACATCTCTGGATAAATGGCACCATTATTAATTGCATCAGGATTCTAAGGAAAGGAGGTAATTATTTTTTTTGAATAAGCAATTTATATGGCTGCCTGTCTGGCTCCTGTGAGTCTGAGCAGCAAGCAAGAATTTAGAACCAAAATAAAATAAAATAAAATTGATGGAGGGATGACGTGCTATCAAGTTGTTGTCAATTCTTAGGAACCACCTAGATTTTCTCCAGGACAACTAGTCCCTAACCTGGTCCTTCAGGTGTCCCCACATGGCGGAACATCAACACTCAGAAACTGGAGTTGAATCCCACCCATCTTAAAGCTGACAAGGTGGAACGCATCACACCAGAGGGTCTTTCTGGTCCTTCCATGACCAAGCCACATGGGATCTATGGTTGGGTTCCCGACCCCCACAGGACAAGCCCTCCCTCCCTCCCTTAACCATAGCTCACCCCATACAGCCCGAGCCATGCGGATCTCCATCCCTCAGTCACCAGGTGTATCCCTTAGAGCAAGCCCACCGCGTGAATTAACTCCGCGGAGACCCTCTCCTCCTCCCCGCCCCCGGCCGCGGCGCATGGGAGTTGCAATCCCGTGCACGGGCGGAAAGATGCGGAACGGAGCCCCAGCCTCGCTTGTGCCCAAACGCAACCTGTGGCGCACGTCTGGCCCGGACATTGCGCGTTCCTTGCGCGCGCGCGCCGCCGCCTCCAGCTTTTTCTCCGAAGACCCCGCGGCCTCGCGCTCCCGCGGGCGCCCGAAGCGCATCCCCGCTGGGCAGGAGCGCTCCCGGCTGCGATGGCCCGGGTTCTGCGGCCGCTAGCCCAACCAGCCCAGCCCAGCCCAGCCCAACCGGCCGGCCGGGAAGAGCGCGCGAGCGGGCGCACCTGTCGGAGCTCACCTGGCCAGCCAGGCCCCGGGCGCGCTTCTCCCGCTTCGCCCCCGGCAGCGAGGCGTCTCCCGGTGACCGAGATCACCGAGCTCCGTCCGGGCGGCGAGGATGGCAGGCGGAGAACGGAAGCTGGCTTAGGGTCACCTGCTGGTGCGGAGGACGGATGGCAGCGCCCGCGGGCACCGCGCCGGGCGCCGGACCGCGCGCAGGAGAACTGCGCGGGCAAGGAGGAAAGAAGGCGCCCGGCTGGATTGCTTGCGCCCTTGGGCTTGCTGGGCGAACGCGGCCAGGGGTTACCTGGCAGGCAGACCACGGTTCAACGAAAGCTAGCTTGAAGGAGCCTCCGCGGCCAAGTGGGGAGAGCCGTTTTCCGACGGGCGCTGGATGAAAGCAGCGACACTGCGAAGGGCCAAAGGAGCGCTGGGGGTCCTGCAGGTACGGTAGATGCCATAGAAGGAGGCGCCCACACTTAAGTTTGCAAAGAAGTAGCGCTGAAGTTAAATCGTCGAAGTTAAGTCCAGGTAACTACCTAGTAGTGAGGCCAATTAACCGGTGGAACAGCTTTGCCTTCAGAAATGGTGGGCCCTCCATCACTAGAGGCATTTAAGAAGAGACTGGACAGTCACTTATCTGCTTGAGCAGGGGGCTGGACTAGAAGACCTCCAAGGTCCCTTCCAACTTCTATTCTATTCTATTCTATTCTATTCTATATTCTATCCCATCCCATCCCATCCCATCCTATCCTATCCTATCCTAAACTTATCTGCATCTTGGCCAGTTCAACAGGGCGTGAAGCAACCAGAAATCTGATCCAGCCAACCGCTGTTGAATTATAGTTGGCAACGTGACTGTGCCAGTCCCTGGTTAGAATGCAATCAGTTAAAATGTTATTGGGTGTAAAGAAGATGCATTTGGCCAATTAAAATGTTTTAGAAGGCTAATGCTCACATCCATTTAAGAACCCGGCAATCGGGCAAGTTTTAATGGGTGTAAGACTAGAGGATTCATCTGTGTTTGCAGATAGATGTTGCTTTTATAACCTTTTACTTCTCTCAGCAAGCAGCCTGTATCTTCATCTCTGACCAGGAATCCTGGTTTCTTAAATCTGATGCTTTCTTGTTGCCTTTCAGATGTCTTTAAAGTTTATTAGTTGCTCGGGAAGTCCCATTGGGCCCAATATTATAAAGCGCCCCCCAATAGTTTTATACAAAAAGAAAGTTGCCCATTTATTAATCAATAATCACAGAATAATACACAACAGAATAAATACACTTATTAAATTCCATTCATTCAGGCAAAACTCCATCAAGTAGGTCTGCTCCCGCTTAGCAAACATATTGTGGATGGACAAATTCCGAACATCTTAGAATATAATTTAACAAACCATTGGCATCCTTGAACCTTATCTTTTCACCACAGATTCTCACATCGTGACAGATATCAAGAAATCACATCTGCACATCGCCATATCTTGAGTCACACATTAGGTTCCAGTTTGTCGTATTCACACAAATTTGTTAGAATGTGGATTAGTTCGAGTTTTCCTTGCCGTGGATATGACCCAGTTAAACTCTGCAAGCAATCCTGGGGGACGTTTGAAGAGAGGGATTAAGGGCAGCTTTCTGGAGCATTGTGAGGTTAGCTTTAATTATTCCCCTGAGTACTGGAGGACAGTTTCAGGAGTACACAACCAGGGAGAAACCACTGCTTATTAAATGTGCACACTTCTTGGTGCAAAGGAGTTTTAGGAAGATTTGATGTAGTGGTTAAGACACGAGGCTAGGAAGCAAGAGACCAGGAGTTCAAGAATAACCTTGGGGCAGTTACTCTCTTTCAGCCCAGCCTACCTCACAGAGTTGTTGTTATGGGGAAAATAGTTAGGAGGAAGGGGGTGTGTTGGTTATACTTGCTGCCATGAGTTATCTGTGAAAATAATAAAAGCGGGATATGATTGAATGAATGAACAAATGAATTGAATGAAAGAACGAACAAACAAACAAACAAATGAACGAATGAATGAATAAATGAAGATCCCTAAAGGCTAGCTGTGTTGAGAAGAACCAACATCTTCTTTGCATCTAGAAAACTGCTCATAATGAGTGAAATCATGTTCTGGGTTTAGGACAGTTCCTCTGAAAACCTTGTACCTCTGAATGTATTACAGAAGGGTTTTTATATAGGCGCTTAAACATCAATGCTATCAACATTTTTTTAAAAATAATAGTACAATAATTTTGAGCAATGTGCAAGAAATTTGGAGAAACAGATTTTTCTATTACGAAGCCAATAGTTTCAAGTCTTAAGGAATATTAAATATATTTATTATAATCTAAAAAGAAGCATGCAACAAAAATTCTTTTTCAGGTTTATTGGTCTCCTAAAGAGAAAATTGGATTATCCCTCTCCGGTTAGAGATGAAACACAGTGCATATATTTTGATCATTTTTACAATTAGTTCCTTGTGATCAGATCTGTTCATTTATGAAGCACTTGGGATACGCCCTGTGCAGTCAGTTGCTGAAAATATTGTTTTGTATTCCTCGGACACTTGTGTGTCACATACCACAAGTGGTCAGTTCTCCCCTTTTGAATTGGTTCTTGTCAGAAAATAGGCACCAAACGATCTGATTCCGTGCAGTTCAGGTTTCATGGTTTGTTTAAAAACTGTAGCAATTTTTATATAGATGCAGTTATTATGTCCGTATGGCGAAAAAGTAGGAAAAAACCCCAAGAACATTGTTCCCTTTGCTTGTCCTGTTCATTTTACTGGGGTTTTCGCATGTTTGTTTGTTTGACTTGTATTTGCAAGTTCTTAAAAATATTTTCATTTGTGGTTGTAAACAAACTAAGAACTGGAATGCTGTTGTTTTTTCCAGATACTGAAATCCGCTCTGGAGCAGGGAGTTCAAAAGCTATTCAAATCCCTTGGGATTTGCGCTGGGAAGAAATAGACTTGAGGAGACCACAGTAGGATGCAGTAGTGGAAATTTTTGAATGGAATGGCTGCTTCCAGGACGAGCAGATGCTCGCTCTGTGTGATGTGAAATTGCACCCTCTGGAGGCACAAACCTTGTATAGATTTACCCCAAATTGTGATTAGTAGGTACCCAGCCTCTAGTTTAGCCAGGGAAGATAACACTACCAGCAATCTGTCTATGGAGATTCTCACATTCTGGAGAAAATCCACATTTTACACAGAGAGGACCACCGGTTTGAAAGAAGGGTCAAGGAGGCCATCCACGTTAAAATTGAGCAGCCCTCTCTCAACAGAGGGAGAGAGGGGCACGACACCACCTGTCTCCTGTTTACAACACAGTCCTTTGGCTCGGTGAAGTTTTCACACCCATTTGCACTCTTGAAAGTACAGATTAAACCCCCCAGTGGCCTCAACAATTCTCAGAGAGCGAATGACCGACCTTCGGAGTGCTAAGACCAAGGAATATAAACCCTTCCATTCTCCACCATTCAGTCAGAACTGAAGAAACTTCTTGGATGAGAAGCGAAATATCTTCAAGGACAAAAAGTAGAAAGTCCAGTTGCATTTGAAAAACAAAAGCACCTTTTATATCTTATATCCTATCCTTGACAACAAAACAATCATCTCGTCTTTACTACCCATGTTAGCTGCAGTGATCCTCTAAACAAGGTGGGACTCTGACTGTCCCCCTTAGCTTGGTCACCAAAGCAGAATGACCCAACTCTTCCTGCCTCAGATCCATACTTCACTGTAATCCATCTCAGCCGCCCCCTTGGGCAGGTGGCCTTTGATTGGATTGGCTGATTTGAGAACCTCTTCTTCATGCAAATATCTGTTCACAGGCCATTTCTCCCATCACGTTTCTTTCTTCTGGAAGAACATCATCTTGAATTCCAGATGTGGGTCTGAAGCTGGATCATGAATCCAGATCTGGCATGGCAAGTAGGTCCAAGCTCAGCAAGATCCATTTGCTCCTTGCAAGTTGGGTTCAACAGGCCCCTGGATACCCAAGTTGGGAAGAGGCCTGTTACACTTGGTGTGATCTTCTTGGGTTCTTTCACTTTTCCAAGCCTGGAATTTCTTGAGGATTTTCTTCTTGGCAAAAGTGAAGATCTCCAGCAAAAACATGAAGGATACGGCGTACATAGCGAGGATTCCACCCTTAAGTGTCCCAAATGTCTGGGGTGACTTCATCACAGAATCAATAATCCACGCACCCCCGACAATCCGCAGCCCCAGGAAGAGAGTCACAAACAGGATATCCACCACATCTCCAGCCAGGCTCTGGTAGCTTCCGCTGTCTCGTAGGAACCAGCGCATTTGCAAAAACGGGTTGGTGATCTCGCTCACGAAGATGATGGCGATGATCTCAGGGCCCGACTTGCCGGTATCCAAGACCAGCGACATGCCGCTCATGCTGAGCAGGTGGTGAGTCAGCATCAGATCGGTCTCGCCTTCGAAAAGGACACACCAGCAGAAGTCAAAGATGAAATAGCCCAGCGACAGACAGAGGATGAACTCTTGGAGAGGCGTGTTTGGATGGCCTAGAAATAAGGGTAGATTTACAAAATAAAAGTAATTTAGTTTTTCAGTTCCCATTTGCGTTTTCTCCATTCTGAAGATCCCAAAGCAATGAGGGTCTAGGACAGGGGTCTTCAAACTTGGCCCTTTTATGACTTGTGGACTTCAACTCCCAGAATTCCTCAGCCAGCCACGCTGGATGAGCAATTCTGGGAGTTGAAGTCCACAAGTCATAAAAGGGCCAAGTTTGAAGACCCCTGATCTAGGACAACTCGCTACGGCCAACTCTCTGCGGCCAACTTGTCATGGGACAATGCAACATGTTATTAATCTTTTCATTCACTTACTTTGATTATTGGTGACCACGTTTTTGTTGAAATGATTTTAACTCTTTTATGTCTGGATTGGTTTTATTTTATTATTATTGGCCACGGTTCCATCAAAATTAATTTAACTTTTGTATTTGTTGAACTGTCCTGCAGAGAGTTTTCCCGTGGCAAGTCACCCTCTTCTCCAAAGCGTCCGAAGGCAGGACAAGAAGCAACGGATGGAAACTAATCAAGGAGAGAAGCAACCTGGAACTAAGGAGAAACTTCCTGACAGTTAGAACAATTAACCAGTGGAACGACCTGCCTCCAGAAGCGGTGAATGCTCCAACACTGGAAGTTTTTAAGAAGAGACTGGACTGCCATTTGTCTGAAATGGTATAAGGTTTCCTGCCTGAGCAGGGGGTTGGACTAGAAGACCTCCAAGGTCCCTTCCAATTCTGTTATTCTGTTATTCTGTATCCTGAGTTGGCTGCGGCAAGTTATCCCATTCGGAAGCAGTGAAATGATAGATTTTAAAGCTGGTTTAATGTGGACCATTGTTTTGACATCCTGAAGCTTTAATAAATTTGCCAGCTGAGGTTTGATACACATTCCTTTTACCTCCCCACTGTCACTCGACTGAATCTTCTGCCAAGAAAATATCCTACTTTCTCAAAGAAAATTATGGGGAATGGCATCAAACATCACATCTAGAAATCAAAATGTTTAAGTCTAGACTTTAAAATCTCTATTTTGAAAATTACATCAGGGCAGTGAATACTGCATAGATTAAGTGAGTTTGCCGTGCATTGAGTTTGACTCTCAGTGGGGTTCAGTGCTTCTCCCTCCCTTCTTTAGTGTTAACTGTGCTAAGAGAAGGTTTGTTTTAATCATTGGTTGTACAAGCCATAACTGGCTGGGTTTGACCAACTTGCTAAGCTGTAACTTATAATTTTACAAATTACAGTGTTCAGGTTTAAGCAACATATTAAGAGGGAAGCCATGTTTTGCAATCCACATCTGTTGGCTTCATATACTGCAGCACGCTAAGTCAGAGCCAAGCAAACCACACATTGTGGCTGAACAGGGCTTGTTGTAAGCTACCAAGAATCTCTAAGGCAGGGGTCTTCAAACGTGGCCCTTTTATGACTTGCGGACTTCAACTCCCAGAATTCCTCAGCCAGCGTGCCTGGCTGAGGAATTCTGGGAGTTGAAGTCCGCAAGTCATAAAAGGGCCACGTTTGAAGACCCCTACTCTAAGGCAACAATGGCATGCAAACAAACAAACAATATTTGCACTATTCAGATGACCCTAAGGGCACAGATGAACCTCCAAGTGGCCACAATGGCTCTCAGAGGGAGTACTAACAACCAGATGACTGCAAAGGAATATAAACCCTTCCATCCTCCGCCATTCAGTCAGAACCGAAGAAGCTTCTTGGATGAGAAGCAAAATGTCTTCAAGGAAAAAAAAAAGCCCAGTTGTCTTTTGAAAAAAAAGCACCTTTTGGACCTTGAACCTGGAGTTAGTCATCCCTCCTACAGATCGAAAACTCTCCCTGGAGCAAATTAAAGGATGTTTATGGAACTTCAAGGGAGTTAAAGCTGAAACTCAAAATTCTCTTTACAGATCCCTTTGAAGAGCATGACTCTTCCAGCTGAGTTCACATTCCTGATTCTCCTCCCCATTCTCACTGTAATTCTCCCTGTAAACATACTGGGCTCTTCCATGGTGAAAGGGCAGAATGCCACAGCTTACTATTAATTTAATAGGCTTTAAAATACAGGATATTATTTTTGGTGCTGCTGCCTAGCTCTTATCACCCCTGGAGTAATTACAGGACTCCCACACTGCAAATAATGAACAGGACTTGTATATGCTGCCCCTGTTGTATGGGACAGGGAGCCAAAAGCTTAGAATAAGATTTTCCTCCAAGGAATTATTTGACCCATAAGGCTGACAGGTGTTGCGTGAAAAGGGTTCAAGATCTAATCCCAGCAAAGGAGAGCTAAACTAAAGGCAGGAGAGGACTTGTGAGGACACAACGGAGGAGGCAACATGCAGACTAGCAAAACTGAACCAACATTTAAGCCCAAGTGATCAAGACAGGAAGCAGTGAATGAGACAGAAAGAGAGATGAAAAATGGATGATTTTTGAAAGAAAGAAAAGGAAGGAAGGCAAAAAAAGAAGAAAAGAACAAGGAAGGAAAGGGAAGGAGGGAGGAAAAAGAGAAAGAACAAAAGAACAGAGAAAGAAGGAAGGAAGGGAAAGGAGGGCGAGCGGGCTATAGGACTCACATGCTTTTGGTATGTCCTGGAGAGCACTGTTTTCATTTGGAGAAGGAAGTTTCTAGTCCTTATGACTGAAACTGGGTTGGCCACTCTGTTAGCTAAAGTCTCAGAATTCCATAAACAATCACCGCCTCCCTCAAAGGTTATATAAATAGTTAGACAAACCTAAGGGCTCTTAGTTGGTGACTGACTTTATACCTGCTAACATTTTGCTTATGCATTGTCACCACCAAATATGGTGTATCAAGTGGTGATCTCAAACAACATCTGTCTTCTCTGAAATTCTTGGGATATGTGCTTCAGAAGTGAGAGAAATATCCTTGCAGGGCAAGTCCAACTTGTCCCTGACTATGTGCTACCCACCTGCAATTTGTAAGGACATCTCGGTGTTTAATTGGGTCACCAAGGCCTGTATAATGCAGTGAATAACAGGGCTTAGAGTGCAGAATGCAACATTCAAATCTTTGTTTACAATCCAGCTTGATCATTTGTGATCTCTCAATCTCCCCACCCTGCAAGGTTGAGCTTAGGTGAGAGGTTTCTGGGCTATGGGGAAGAGAGCAGGAAAACGTAAGATTCCCTGACAATTACAAAGAATTAATCAGTGGAGCAGCTTGCCTCCAGAAGCTGTGAGTGTTCCAGCACTGGAGGTTTTCAAGAAGAGATTGGACAGCCTTTTGTCTGAAATGGTATAGGGTTTCCTGCTTCAGCAGGGGGCTGGACTAGAAGACCTCCAAGGTCCCTTCCAGCTCTGTTATTCTGTTTGAGAGCCGCTGCATGTGCTAAACCAGGGTTCCCAACCTCGGCCTCTTTAAGACGCATGGACTTCAGCTTGTAGAACAAGGCAACCACAAGCCATTTGAGGCTTGCTGCAGGAAACCCCAAGGACAATTCATGGAGTCACCAGCAGATGAACTGGACCTAAAGGACTTCTAACTAACCATTTTGCACCAATTATGGAGCATGCTAATTACAGGAAGAAGTGAGAAGCTGTTGATGAAGAACGGAAAAAGTAGGAAGTTTTCTCTATACCAGGTAGAGCAATGTTGGTGGATCGTTGCTGGAGAAGTCATATGAGCTGGGTGGAAGATGAAACTAAAATGGAAGGTGGTGCATTGGTGGAAGCAGCTGATAATGTGCAGGAGGAGAACTTGTGGAGATCAGAAAGGTCACCTGGATTAGGAGAAGCAGTGACAAATGGGCAAGAAGGCTAAGAGTCCGATCCTTAGGTTAAGAAGTTCCTAATTTAAAGCTTGGGACCATCAGCTATTCCTCTCCTTCCCCCTTCCTCCATTGTCCCAGGATAATAACATAGGCCAACTTCTGAGCACAGAGTTGTACGATGTTTGAGAATACAACGAAACATTCAGAGGTGCAAAACTGAAAGGTTGGGACCAGGTTGGGAAGCATCTATCTGAACCTGCTGCTTGAATCATAGAGGCATTGGGTCTTCTGGAAGGCTTAGCACAGCTGCTTTGGGGCTTCCCCATGTCTTCTGAACATGCCCATAAGACCCATCAGTCAGATTGGTTGCAAGAAAGATATCCGTGCATGCCATTGACTGGCAGGGAATTGGAAAGAGCCATGTTGAGCCCGTTGAGAAGACAGGTTGCCTCAATGCTTCAAGGACCAAATTTGACCATTTTCTGGTGTCACTTTGATGGGTCCTTGGTGTTCTCTGAGCTTGAGGGGGTTTTTTTGGTTGTTGTTTTTTTTTGCAGACATTTCATTACCCAAACTAGGTAACATCATCAGTGCTAATGATGCAAGAAAACAAGCAAGCTCAGAGAGCATCACGGAGCTCTCATTTCAACCCTGAGCTGCAAATATTCTCCTTTATTGGTCTAACTTTGCCTAATCTTGGTTCCAAGGCTGACACGACAGGAATTTTAGATCACCCTCTGGCAGTGTGGAAAGGGCTGGTCCAGTGATGAGATTCAGCCGGTTCGCACCACTTCGGCAGAACCGGTAGCTAATTTTTTGTGGCCCAGGCCCAGAATGGACTTCCGGAAGTGGCATCCACATAGAGAACCGGTTGTTCACATATTTGAATCCCACCACTGGTTAGATAGACAGACAGACAGACAGACAGACAGACAGACAGACAGACAGACAGAAATAGATACAATGGTGGCATTCAGCTAGTTTGCACCACTTCGGCAGAACCGGTACCTAATTTTTTGTTGCCCAGGCCCAGAATGGACTTCCGGAAGCAGCATCTACACATAGAACCGGTTGTTCACCTATTTGAATCCCACCACTGGATGGATAGATAGATAGATAGATAGATAGATAGATAGATAGATAGATAGATAGATAGATAGATAGATAGATAGATAGATAGATAGATAGATAGATAGATAGATAGAAATAGATACAGTGGTGGGATTCAGCTGGTTCACACCACTTCGTCAGAACCGGTAGGTAATTTTTTGTTGCCCAGGTCCAGAATGGACATCCGGAAGCAGCATCCACACAGAGAACCAGTTGTTCACCTATTTGAATCCCACCACTGGGCTGGTCCTAGAGGGCTCGTCCATCATGCCACTCTGATACTCCTTGCTTCTTCCAATAAGCTGGTGGAGCTTCCCCCCCTCCTTCCTACCTGCGTGAGTCAGCGGCCAGGGACCATCAATGAAGACAACGTAGCCAGAGAGGAAAGAGACCATCGTGCCATGCAACAAAGTGACCATTCGACAGCTCCATTCTGCGCTGCGATGCCTGCTTCGATGCAAAAAACCCCAGTAAAGGAAAAGCCAAGCGCAGGTGCTACTGATGATTTGGAGAAGGATGGAGGACATGTTCTTGCAGCTGAAAAGAGAGAGAGAGGGAGAGAGAGTGGGAAATAAATATGCACACTAGCCCAATGACAATAAAGCAGGATGGCTGGGAGCTGAAGTAACAACAACAACAACAACAATAATAATAAAGTTGAAAGGAACCTTGGAGGTCATCTAGTCCAACCCCCTGCTCAGGCAGGAAAAAGTCCACACATCTTAAAATTGCCAAGGTCAAGAAACATTGATGTAGACCAGGAGTCTTCAAACTTGGCAACTTTAAGACTTGTGGACTTCAACTCCCAGAATTCTGGCTGAGGAATTCTGAGAATTGAAGTCCACAAGTCTTAAAGTTGCCAAGTTTGAAGACCCCTGATGTAGACAATTATTTCTTCCTGATTTCTTCTCGTTGTCCTTCTCTCCTATTTCTCTCATCTTCTCCCTCTTTTTTAGAAATAGTTAGATGACTGACTGACTGACTGACTGACAGACAGACAGACAGACAGACAGACAGACAGACAGACAGACAGACAGACAGACAGACAGACAGACAGACAGACAGACAGACAGACAGACAGATAGATAGCAAGATAGCAAGATAGCAAGTTTTATGGTACTTGGATAAATAGATTACAATTGAAAAGGTAAAAACTAATCCATTTTTAAAAAAAAAAAGAAAAATAGAAAAAAAATAGGAAGTGGAGTAAAGAAAAATAGAACAGTAGAAAAGAAAATAAGAATTTAGTAAAGGAAAAGGAATACAGAAAGAAACCACCCCCCCTTCATCACAACAAGTATAAACAATTAACTTATCTCCTTCTCTTAAATTTAAACAAAGGATCTCTTTTTCCCATCTCTTTTTCCCATATCTTATCTATAAACAAAGTCTTAACATCTCCTTGTTCAGTCCTGGTCAGCAGAAGTTCATTATGGGTTAAGAACTTACCTAATTTAACCTTGATCAAATAAACCGATCTTATATTATTTCTTTTCACTTTTAACAATCTTGATCATTAGTCCCTTCAAATAATATCCTGGAACTTGGTTTTCCCCCATTTTTTTTCTTTGTCTCCTCTTGCAAACTTCTTCATAGCTTTAGCAAGCCTCTTTTGTAAATTCAATGTAGAAAAATTATTGGGGTTATTTTCTTGGTTTGTTATTTGTGCATCCATTTTAATTATTAAGGCATCAGTCCATTTCTTTTGTATGCCCAGTGTAGCATCTTCTTCCATAACGCTCTTGTCACCTGTTATTTTAAAATCCACTTTCAGTTCCCTCGCAATTTGTCCGGTAGAAGGGGTGCCTCTTTCATACCATCTAGCAACATTTAAGTGTTTTCTCCTTTAATTATAATATTTAGTTCCTTGTGGTTCTCCTTAATATCCAACCTTCAAAGACTCATCCTAACTTTTTTTAAAGATATTCTTTTTTAAAAAAAATTCCCACAGGAAGATTATTTTAATTAATTGCAAAATCCTATTTCAAATTCATCAGGACCCTTAGTCTGTTTGTACAATTCCAGAATCATTCCAAAAGTATTTTTAAATCCGTAAGCTTGTATTTTAAATGTCTTTCGCTAAGCACTGAAGGAAGCTCACCCAGTGCTTGTTGACTTAAAGGTTCCTAGTGGCTGGAAAGCAATTAACAAACAATTTCCAAAATTGATTGCTTAAAGGGATTATGCAATCCCAGGGTCCTTAAAGATGCTGACTGTGGATTGAGCAAGATAGATATTATCTCCCAGAACTCTACACCCATTGGAAAATTATAGTCTTGCAATCTCTCCATGGAGCACTAGTGGGCAATCTCAAATCCTTTCCTTGTCCAGAGAGGAATTAAGAAGAACTGGTCCAGATGACAAGTTATTTGCTAGAAGTGCAGGCAGTCTGGGGCTTTATTCCATCAGCAAGAAACCAGTTAAGTAAGCAATCAACTTCCCCAAATCTCTATGGCCGTTCAATGACTTTATTCCATTCAGGGACTCTAAATCAGGGGTCCCCAACCCATGGCCCATTACCGGTCCGTGGCCTAATCGCAACTGGGCTGCGTGAGTGGCTGGCTGGTGTGCGCACACATGCACATCTCCATTCACATGAGGGTCACACACTGGCGACCCCACTTGCGCGAACGCTTCGGGCTTCATTTGCTCAAGCACTTGGGGCCTCATTTACATGAGGGTCAAGAGTGCTCTCGGCCTTACTTGCGCGAGCAATGGTCCTCCCACAAAATCTTCCCCACTTCCCCTCCCTTTCCCCCTCTGGAAAGGTTGGGGAACTCTGCTCTAAGTCATCTCTTCTAGGACTTCCATTCAATGACTTTAATTTCTTAATTTCCAAAACCTTCATTTAAAAAAAATAAATGGTACACACAATTAACATGTCAGGGAGGTGACCCCTGTCCAGGTACTCACAAGCAAAGCCCCAAATCCTTGAAACAGAAAAGATGACAAATTCAGAAGCTGATTCAGCAATGAGCTAGTGGTCTCCTCTGTCACTGATTCTTAATGAAGTTCTGGGATCCCCACATATGAGTCTGTCTGCCAATCTTCCTCCTTTTTTTCCTTCCTCCACAACCCTTAGAACAGCTGAACCTCCAAAGCTATCGATACAAAGGTGGAAATCCCTTGACGAGGAGGATGCCGGCTTCTGGAAATGAAAACTGGATGGCTTGTATCTCTAGTGTCTTGTTTTTCTTTATATAATGGCTATATCTCTCAATCACCCATCCAAACCAACCAGATTCTTTTGCAATGACACTTCAGAAGCATCTGAGTTGAGTTCTTCAGATTGGCCGTGACTGTTTCTCTGGTGATAGGAGTTTCCTTCCTTCTCTGCTGAGGAATTAGCAGCATCATAGCTTTCTCATGACACTACCGTGCAAGAACTTGGCAGAATTAGTGCAGGATCAGATGTTGAATGCCCAAAATACCTCTAGAAAAGGGAGGATGTCTAGCTAAAACGATAGTTGCTCTGAGATGGTTGTGGCACAGCTATTCCATCTTGACAGGATTCCTTCCTTCTTCTGTCTCCCTCCCTCCCTCCCTCCTTCCTCCCTCCCTCCCTCCCTCCTTCCCTTCCTGCTACTTCTCACATCAACTTTGTCGTATCTCTTTTCCAAAGTCTCCACGCACAAGAATACAGCAACAATAACCTTCATGTTCTTCAGGAAAAGTTTATTTGCATTTATTTCTTACATTTATCCCCCCTTCTTCCCTTCTTCCTCCTTCTTTAGAGGACTGGAGACTAAAACATATGAAGAACAGTTAATAGAATTGGGTATGTCTAGCTTAATGAAGAGAAGGACTAGGGGTCACATGATGGCAATCTTCCAATATCTGCCACAAAGAAGGGGGGGTGTCCACCTCTTCTCCAAACACCTGAAAGCAGGAGAAGAAACAATGGATGGAAACTAATCATGGAGAGAAGCAACCTGGAATTAAGGAGGAACTTCCTGACAGTGAGAACAAGGAGTCAAGGGCTGGAGAGAGGTTCATCTCGCCCCAACCAGAAGAACAATTTCTCAATCCCACGGATTCTCCTTCAACCCACATCCTACCTGTGGATCACTTCTACAACAGTGAAACTTAAAGAAAGAAAGCTGAGCTTGTTAAACTGCTGGACTTCTTACTGAGTAATAATATATATTAATATATAATATATATATTATTGTTATCTTTATACTAATAATATCATAATAATGCTACCATTATGTAGTGCAGATAATGAACCTACACGTTGCTCAATTTGAGTATGCCGGTGGTAGTTACATTATCACAAAAAAAGCAACTTGCAAATCTGTGGTTGAAGTTGTGTCCTGTTGTTTGACTGGGACGTATCAGATCCAAAGAATGAGATTTGTATCTAGGTAAAAGGCAAGATCCTTTTGAAGCAGACCAATATTCCAGTGCAACCTGCAATTTCTCCCCCCCCCAATTTTATTGAAGTTTATTATGATATAAAATACAAAGAGAAGCCGAGATAATGCAGGAATAGGAGAAGGTAAAGCAGAGGAAAGGGATGCACAATAAAAGAGAAAGGGGGAAAAAAAGTGAAATCCAACTTTTTTCAGTGCAGTAAAATACAAAATATAGTTACACCTTCAACATTTTGCTTTACAATATATTTAGTAAATAAAGGGAGTCTTTGACTTTCAACAGTTTCTTTAGTGACTGTTCAAAGTTACTGAAATGAGTAACTTATAACTGTTTTTCACACTTACGACATTTGCAACATCCCCTGGATCACGTGATCAAAATTCAGATGCTTGGTGACTGACTTGTATTTACGACGGTCGCAGCGTCCCGAGGTCACGTGATCCCCTTTTGCGACCTTCTGACAAGCAAAGTCAATGGGGGAAGCCGGATTCACTTAACAACCGTGCTACTAATTTAACAACTGCAGTGATTCCCTTAACAGCTGTGGAGAGAAAAGTCGTAAAATGGGGCAAAGCTCACTTAACAAATGTTTTGCTTAGCAAGAGAAATTTGGGGCTTGATTGTGGTTGTAAGTCGAGTGGCTACTTGGAGGTTTATCTGTGCCCTCTGGGTGATCTGAAGAGTACAAATGGGCGTGGATCCTTCTTGGAACTGCTGAAAGGATGGTGTTGTAAACAGGAGATAGATGGTGTCGTATCCCTTACCTTCTGTTGAGGGAGGACTGGTCTATCTTGATGTAGATGATCCCTTTGACCCTTCTTTCAAACCAGCGGTCCTCTCTGTCCAGAATGTGGACTTTGCTGTCCATCAGTGTCAAGGTCTTGATTTAACAGCTAACCAGCTTATATAATGTAAGATGTAAGATGTAATGATGGGGATGACTCAGCAGGGTCTGTGTCTCTTTAAGAGCCTTTGTATAAAGGGAAGGCTCTGCTTATGTGTTCTCTCCCTTCCGTTTCCTGCTGTAATTGTGGTTAATTGGATCCTGCTGTACTAGCACGTATATGTATATTGTTCCTGGTGTATAATATTGTAGAGAGTGTAAGATAAACCATTTTATATAAACCACTGTTTACTGTATTTACTCCTG